CTGACAATTGACCATCACTTAATTTACCATCACCTCACGATTGAAAATGTGACACTGATTTCATATAACAGTTCAACAAACAAGTTAATAATATTAAGTCACTTACATTTTTGATGAAATAATGACCGTTTTGGTCTATTTTAGCAGCGAAAATAGATCCGATGAATCCAAACAAATCACAAATTTGCAATTATTTTTTCAGTTCTTTTTCCTCCCATCCTGTAGCCTACTTGCGCCCCCCCGTGAGAGTGTCGGGGGGCGCACCCCACCGGTTGAGAACCACTGATCTAGTGTATGTAAAAAAAAAAAAAAAGTCTAAAGTTTACCGCTTTTGCATGAGCTTGCGTGTGTTTGCCGAGAATCATAATCATGTGATTTGTTCATCGTTCATTAGAAAGTAAACAAAAATGAGTGAAGAGGAGCAAAATAAACAAGAAATGATCACTAAAAAACCTTTGTCCTCCGCTGTATGGAAATATTTTGTGTCCTATAGAGACTGTTGAGCAAAAGCAAATGATTTGTTGGGATTGTTTTGTGTCTGTTGACACAACTAATGGAAATACCACCTACTTTTTTGATAGACTTTGTTGGTAGATAAGTTCTGTTTGGTCATATGGTAGGGCTGCATGATAGCACATTGTGATTTAATTGCGATTCTATGGAGCATGCACAATAATCACCAGGACTTTAGATAATTAGTGAAACTGAATTCTTACGTTGACCCATTAATAAAGAAATGAGAAGTCTGTAATTTCACTGGTATGTTTATTTAAACCTCAAAAGACAGATTATTAACAAAACAAGCAAGAAAAAAATCATTATGTAACAGTTACAAACCAATTTGTCATTTATTTAGGGAAATAAGTATTTGATCCCCTACAAGCCAGCAAGAAATTAGGTCAAGTACATGTGCACTAACACAACACAAGTAGTACTTAATTAAGTATTAACGGATACCAAGCCATCATTGTCATTTAATGGCATTACTTTGTTGGCCACTTGGTCTTGTGAACACAGTAATTTTAAAGTGTAAGTTTAGTATGTCAACTACACATTGTGGAAAAAAAAACAAAATAGAAGTGGTCAAATTTTGAGCCAGATCGCCCCGCAACTGAAGCAGCACCACATAGCGTAGTTTCAGACATTTGATCCTGTTAGCGTGATAACACAAAAATTATTTGACAGATCTTTTTCAACTATGCAGACATTTTGTAAGGTTAAAGATATGGATCTGAGAACAAAAACTGAGCCTGGAGATGCCATCTGACCTTATTCGGTCTATCCTTGTGCAGAATTCCCAGGTACATTGAACAGGTCAGTGAATCAAAAACTGTAAGGTGCAAAATGTTTTTTTTTTTTAAAAACTAGTCTCTTAAAAATATAAATAAGTACTATACTAGAGCTTATAATTTCTACACCTAGTTCAGTTCATGAAAGTGAATTTCAATGGCAGTGATCTTTTGAGCATGTTGAAAGAAAAGGCAACTAACTATTTTTTAATATTAATTTCGGAAAAGCATTTTGTTTGTGGTGTTTTTATCTGCTACTGCTGTTTCACACGGTTTGTACTGAGACTTGTTTTCTTTTGCATCAAATGTGAAACTTATCCATATGTTGGTATGTTTTTTTGGAACTGAAGCCACCTGACTGACTGACATAATGGCAAAACCATTTAAGTACAGACTTCACAGACAAAACTGCATGGTTTCTACTTATCAGATGGATGTATGGTTTACGTGCTTGAAGCCAGTTAGATCAAAATTATCCAACATTATCCATTATACAGCACTAACTAAAGATACCACTTCTGATTGGATACAGTACATCTCAGATTCATCTCTTCCTTTTGTCTTAATTTTTATTCATTGAAGAAAGTCTCAGCACATTTCCTCATAGTTTTTGGTATCATATATTAATTTGTATTTCATCTTGTTTTCATCGTTGAAAATCACAGATCATTTTTTATCATAGTTCAGCTGCCGGGATGCACCCCCCACCATCCAGTTTGGGAACCTCTGCATTACCACATCAGTCTACTTCTAGATTAGTCTTTTTCTGCAGTATTAAATTTGTCTATCTCCGTTTGTTATCCTTGGCTCTGTCTTCTGACTCTGTCCCCTTCTCTCCTGATACGTATATCTCTAACCACCACACTGTACTATGACTCTGAGGCTACGTTCACACTGTTCAGCCATATTGTTCAATTCCGATTTTTTGCTCAAATTGGATTTGTCTATCTTGACGGTTCGCATTCATAACTACAAGTGACTTGTATCTGACCGTAATGTGAACGCATCGGTCCTCCGAAACGTCACGCATGCGCACATTGATACTTTTTTACACGGGTCAACTGCGTCACCAACAACAAAAAACGTCATATCTGTGGGACAACTCATGGCATTAGAAATGGAGGCGTTAGTAGTTCACGCATGTATCACACTTTGCTCTGGAGGATGACAAACAGTGAATCAGCTGTACATGAGCAGGTCGAAAAGGAGAAGAAAAGTCAGGCGGCAAGTTTTTTCTGTTTTCGCAGTTATTGCTGTAACTGCTGCACCAAGAGATGTGTGGGTACGAGAAAGGAGCCAGCAATGGTGGGACCGTGATGTGGATGGATATACAGATGAGCAGTTTATAGAGAACTTCAGAATGTTGAGGGCTACATTTGAGTACCTCTGTCAGCGCATGCGTATAAGCAAAAAGCCACATGAATTCCGATCTGAGCGTTCACATTCAGGTCGCATGGCCGCGAATCAGATGCGTAAGAAATTTAGTACCACATATGAAAGTGACACAAATCTGATTTGAAAAGATCAGATTTGCGTGTCCACACAGCCCTGAAAAGATCAGATCTGTGTCACATTAAGGTAAAAAATCCGATTTGAGTCACTTCAGCATGGCAGTGTGAACGTAGCCTGATACTCCAGTACCTCTACGATAGCATACTATTTCTTTTATATCCTCTTCCTCTGGTATGTCACAGAAAGTCTTGGGATGCTTGCATAATTCAGTAAAAATATTACAAATTTATTGGTTTTGTAACAAAATCATTTCTTCATTTCTTTACAGAAAATATTTATCACATTCAAATAAATCAGTAGTTTTAAATAAAACATTAATTTCAAGTATGCTGGAATCAAATGCAATGACCAGCTAAGGCACAGGTGTCAAACTCCAGTCCTGGAGGGCCGGAGCCCTGCACATTTTTGGGTTTCCCCTCATTTAACACACCTGATTCAACTCCTTGTGCTAATTACCACACAGCTCTTGAGCTGAATCATTTGTTGTGGAATAGGGAGAGAACTAAGCTATGTAGGACTCCGGTCCCCCAGGACTGGAGTTCAACACCCCTGAGCTAAGGAAAAAGCAATGGCAGGAACTTGAGACACAGATGATGAGGATGGTTACGCCAGCCTCAAACCCACGATGGAGGAGTTGCTTGGGTCAGAGTCACGCCCTTAGTCTGTTTAGCTACATGGTGGCCCAGGAGCAAGGAAACACACTAGAATTTATGAAGGTTGTTACACCTAAGAAAACAACTAAGGGGATACAGATCAGGATGGCCAGCGACACCATCTGACCAAAAGGGAAACGACAGACAGGAGAGGACAGGGGCCGATCCTGACAGTTCTGAGATAAAAAGTTCATTGACAAGCAGTATCATTTAATTAGGAACACCTTTGGAATAACAAAGTTTATTATCCCTTTGGGAGCCAATGGGTACCATTGCAATAAATAGCAAAATGGCAAAAACAGAACTGCATCAGTCAGTCAATAAATTTGCAGCATTTTTCCAGAATTAAACATAAACATAAACAGAATTTCCATTTCATGCAACAGAATGGTTGATGGCCAGAGAGATTTTTTTTCTTTTAAGAAGACCAAGCTTGCCGTCCATGCTGAGGCCTACAAGGATTATCTCTCCCACCCTTTGCACTGCCTGAATTGCTTATTACTCCTTCTTTTCCATTGTTAAACCGCAATAACCTCTAGATCAGGGGTCACCTACATGGTGCCCGCAGGCAACAGGATGCCCCCAAGGACCACATGAGTTGCCCACGGACCTGTTATAAAAATAGCACAACTCACCAGTGAGTAGCGTTAAATTTTATCCTGTTGCTATTCTTCTTTAATCTCAAGTGCATTTATATAGACTTGAAAATGACAATGTCTAAAAAAAAGCATTTTAAACATGTTTATTATACATGAAGTTTAGATAAGATTAGGTAAAGTCTGTTCTGGTAGCCCTTCGTATGGCTCAGTACCTGTGAAGTAGCTCTCAGTTTCAAAAAGGTTGGTGACCCCTGCTCTAGATAATACCTACTCTTACTCTGACGATCTTTGCAACTCCCTTCTTAGCTTTTTTCAGGATAAAATTTCCATTATTCACAGTTATTTGTCTGCCTATGTTTCCCATCTTCCCTCCATCCCTGATTTCAATTCCTGTCTCTTACCACCCCCATTCATAGTTGGCTCTCCAGTTTCACACCCCTTGACTCCTCTCAACTTCCTGATATATTCAGTGCCACATGCTCTTTGGATCCCCTCCCTTCTAACTTGTTTGATGAAAACAAAGTTTTTAAATGAAAACAATCTCCATTCACACAGGCATTTTCACTTCTAGCAGCTAAAAGTAAGTCATTAGATAACCCCAATAGGCCTCACTCAGTACAATGGAGAACTCTAAAGCCTGATTGAAAATTAACCAGAATATTGTCTACTTAAAAATGAGGGTAGCTGATGGAAGACAACTTTCTCCAAGACCATAGACAAAAATGGTAGCTTGGAAATGGGTCTAAAATTGTTTTATGATTTTTTTTTTATTATTGTTACTATAGCACGTACCGTACACCTGGGTATTCACTGGAATCTCAGTCTAGGAGCATTTATCCCTGTGTGCTATATTGCCTGCCTTCTCTATTGCTTAGGACCAAATGATATGCTAAAAAGTAATGCAAATGACCTGATTTTACATGTGTGATGTTCTGCCTGTTCCACAGAATCTATATGGACTACAATGCTACCACCCCATTAGATCCAGAGGTTATTATGGCTATTACTGAAGCTCTGAAGGATGCATGGGGAAACCCCAGCAGCACATACTTGCCTGGTTAGTGTCTTTCAAATTAAAACCTGATGTGTGGTTCCGGGGGTTGTGACTGTTTATCTGTGATTGGAAGTTTGCTGGTTCAAATCCTGAGGTTAGCTCTGTTATTTCGCTGTTGGTCTTCTCCAGGGAATAACTGGTCATGCAATTCTGAATTGTATGTCACTTTGAATAAAAGTCTCTGCCAAATGTAAAGTTTTTGTTTCTCTAGGCAGGAAGGCCAAAGGGATTAATGATAAATCTCGAGAGAGTGTTGCTTCAATGGTAAACGGCCAAGCAGAGGACATCATCTTTATGTCAGGTGGAACAGAGGTGAGGAGAATTTGTTGTGTATTTCCTGTATTCTGTAAACTAGGAATACATATGCTTTTAGGACAGGTCTGCCTCTGCTACTGCTATAAATGCTTTCCTGATGACTTAACATTATATGGATGAAGATCTACATCTGATTTAATTTTGAGACAATTTGCCCTGAATATGAAGCTGTGTTGCAGCAAAGGAAGGAAACGGTAGCTGTAGAACACATTTAAGTAACACTGAAGGTATTTTACATTGTTCAAACTTTGCAGGCAATTATATGGGTTGTGAACTAAAAGTGTCCAAATTTTGCAACAGATTATTCTTGAAGCAGCGCCACATGGTGATAGCTAAAAGGACAGCCTCAGACACTTGACTTTGTCAACATGATAGCTTCCATTGTTTGGATGAAGATCAGGACCTGTTCAAGTTTTGAGACAACTTGCACCAAAGTTGAAGCATCTACACTTAGGCTAAAAAGAAAGAGAAGGCCGAGTTAGAGTGGGGCTTAACCTGTGATCAGGATACCTGTATTTGTTTTTATTACTCTAGTTGACCTTGAATGGATCTTATTACCATCTCACAAAAGTATTATATGGATGATGAGCCTCTATGCCTGTGATCAGAAGGTTGCCGGTTTGAGCCTGACTTTGCCATGTCTGCGGGTCCTTGGCCAAGGCCCTTAACCGCCAGCTCCCTGGGTGCCGCAACAGATGGCTGCCCTTCAGGGCCAGCTTGATGTCACCTACAGAGCAAGTTGGGGGAGGTGTAAATGGAGTTTTCCCACGGGGATCAATAAAGAATCTATTATTAAAATCTTAAACTGAAAATCTTCCCCGTTGTAGACTCCAAATAAATGCAATGATAGGGCAGCCGAGGGAGAAAACTCTGCTCACCTTCTTGTAATCTTGTAAACACAGCCATCTGTCATCTAAACATATTTCATGACACTTTTTTTACAAACTTCCCAGGGAATTTAATTGTATGAGGTAGTGTGTAAGTTAGGCTTGTAATAAATGACATTTTCGACATACCACAAAATTTCCCATGGCCCAGCACTTGCACCCCAATGTTCACTCTGAACTATATATTATATATTTTTTTGTGTATGAATGAAAGTTGCATTTATATACAGACATGGACAAATTTGTTGGTAACCTTCCAAAAATAAAAAACTCTCTCTGAAATAGCTTGAAACTGAGAAAAGTTTGCCATCCCTTATTGTTTTTTCCTTATTTAACACAAATCAGACTTTGCTTTTCATTATTGATTCAGTTGAATATTTTATATAATTAAACAAATGACAACGAAAAAGATGGTACCCTTAATTTTATATTTTGGGGCACTACCTTTTGCAGCACTACCTTTTGCAGCAATCACTGCCAACAAGCAAACTCTTTATTTTCCAATGAGACATCTGCATTTGCCAACAGTGACTTTGGCCCACTCTTCCTGAGCAAACTGCACAAGCTGTCTCTGGTTTGAAGGGTGGAATTTCCACTGTGCAATTTTCAGATCTTTCCATAGATGTTCAATAGGATTAAGATCTAGGCTCATGGAAGGCCATTTACCCAGCCATTCTTGAGTGCTTTTAGCTGTATGTTTTGGGTTATTATCCTGTTGGAAGACCCATGATCTAGACCAGTGGTTCTCAAAGTAGGGGTCGCGACCCTCTGGAGGGTCGTGAGACATTGAGGGGGGGGGGTCGCGAGATGATTTCCAAGAAATCAAATTTTTTTTTTTTAACTATTAGAAAGAACATTTTATCATCATTTTAACATTTTATATTAACATTTTATCCATAACTAACAAAAGATAAAAACTAGTAGTTAATAGTTACATTTAAAAAAACATGCAAATTAAAAAGCCATCAGCCTTTCAAATTTCTTTGTTTGATCGTGACCCCTGAGGTGATTACGACAGATTAACGACACATCAATAACGTCAGTTGCAGCAGAATTTACAGCACCATGTTAAACATTCCGACATGTGCACGTAACGTGTAGGTAATTTTCATCGCTTTATGCTTAGGATATTATTTTTGTTGAAATGAAACGAATGAGTAAATAACAATTAAAAAAAAAGTTATATGGTTGTTAGAGCGTTGTGTTCTTTAGTGTTGTCATGCTCTTGTTTGGATAGGATATTTTGTTGAAATTAAACAAATGAGTAAATTACTATTAAAAAAAAATTATATGGTTGTGTACTTTTGTGTTGTCATGCTCATGTTTGGATAGGCCTATTGGCGCATGTGCACCGTTGCGCGCAACATTTGTATATTTTAACTACTTCCAAGGATAGTGGGGGTCACGAGTCACTGGCACGGTTATTTTGGGGGTCGTGAGCTGAAAAGTTTGGGAACCCCTGATCTAGACTGAGGCTGATCTTCTGACACTGGGTAGTATATTTCGCTTCAGGATGCCTTGGTAGTCTTGAGACTTCATTGTGTTCTGCACAGATTCAAGGTTCATATTTTTATTTTTATTTATTGTGCAAAATGAACATGTCACTGTAGTTGTGTAGTTAATACTTTTGGAAATGTGAAGATCTGAGTTTGCACTTGTACCACATTTTATACAGCCACCCCATACTGAAATGAAATGATGTGCTCCGCTTTGATCCAATATAAGATATAATTTATATTTTCTACCTGCTTTATATTTTATTAGCATGTTAAACTAAAGTATGATTTGATATAGCATCAGCAGCAGTAAGTTCATACTAGTTCATACTCAAGGTTTGTGCTTTCGCTGCACAAGCAGTGCTGCTGTTCATACTTGCATGCATATTTTATGTCAATATGGAGTTATAAGTAATATTGAAAAATTATGTTACTTATAATTAGGGGTGGGCGGTACACCAGTGTCATAGGCATTGTGTGATTGTCCACCATGATATGGATTTACACTATACCGTTAACACCGTGAGAATTCAACATTTAAACCATATTTATAAAAATAAAGCATTTTATTTTCTTCATTTGTAAGCTAAACACTTGTCGTTAAATAGTATATGTAACCGGTTTATCTTCATTCTGTGTGTATACACACACACACACACACATACACACAAGACCTCGGACATTCGCGAGGTTAGGTTCCAGAGTCACTAAAAATGGGAATATGTGCTTATTTCAATAGTTTAAACCCTAAATATGCTCCCAAAACACTTTAATTTCATTTAAAAGTTAGCTTTAAAAAAAAACTAATGTTTGATGTAAAAATAGAGTACAGTATTGCTTAATGGATATTTGTCACACTAGCACATTTACAGTACAGTATACTATTGTTACCACCTACTAATTGATAGAACTCGGCATAGGCTGCCGTTTTCTTTTGCATTCACAGTAAGGTAAACGAACGGGACTAAACTTATTGACCGAAGTCATACGTTACCAAGGTACAGTTTAATAAAATATGTAGGAAGGAAACATGTACTGTACGTACAGGGTACAGGTATTCAATCAATTAAAAATTACGTAAAGACGTACAGAAATAAGTTTTAAAATACTATGTGTGCGCTAACCACAAAAAGAGAGAACAAAAATACATTAAAAATATTTAATGAAAAACAGTAGGGTACTTACCAATGATGAATATTGATTTAGGATGATGATTATGAATTAGCTGTTCAGTATGGTGAAAATGCAAGGGGTGGGCATTGTCCTCCAGAGTCCACTGAACAAAGCACACTTAGAATTCATAGGACATGGTTGTCCCATTTTGTTTCAGAGCTGTTAACCCCTTAGTGTGTTGCCCCATTGCACTTCAAATGGATGCAATATAATAATAACTATTACAGACAAAAATCATCTGAAAACCAAAGGGGTGTGCAAAATTGTTCCCTGTAGTACACTAATCAAAGTACACTTCACTAGATGTGTGCCTGTCTTGTCTAGTTTTAAAGATATTAACCCATTCATGTATTGTCCCATTGCACATTATATTGATACCTTCGAACATTTAAAAATTAATTAAAAATCGTACGTAAAGCAATCTGGGAAAGAATGGGGTGTGCAACAGTCGCCATGAGCCCAAAATGTTAAACCATCATGTCATTATATTAACACGATTTTGCAGAAATCACAAAATGGTTTGAAGTGCAAAAATAATCGGTGTGCATCGTTGTCTGTGTACTGGACATCACGATTCTGTCATTAAAAAATGCCCCACCTTACTTCTGTTAAATGTTATTAAAGCCAGAAAACTGAATAATGAATATGAAGCTAACTTAACTGTGGTGCCCCAGGTAAACTTGACTTAGCCGCTCTTCTTTTCAATAGCTAGAAACCTCCCTGGTCAGCGCGTTGGTGGAATAGCGAAAGTTACTGAACTGGATCGGTTGGTGACATTTTATGAATGAAATATGTGTTGCATACACCGATTCCTAATAAAAGCACACTTATAGAACTACAAAGATGCAATTCAATGCTGTAAACTGGCTCTGGAGCTTCCCGCCATGTTGCAACATTCTGAAGTGTCATGGAGTGGGTGTGCTCAGATGGATAAAGGCGTGTTCACTCCAAATTCCAGCTGACCAATAGACGTGTAAGCTGCTAAGGCCCGCCCGCCCGTTAATACAGTGCCAAAAGTCAGAAGCAAAAAAGCATTCCAAAAGCAAAGAAAAACATTCCAGAAGCAAAACAAATTAGAGAAGAAGAAGGATAAAATTATTTTATTCGACTTTTTTGATATTTGGAAAATATATTTTCATTCTGATACTTAATGATTTGCTTGCGGTTTTCAAATTTTTGATTAATACCTTTGGCACAAAATTAACTCCATACCCCCCTTTGTCAGATTAAAATGATACTAAAATATACACTCACCTAAAGGATTATTAGGAACACCTGTTCAATTTCTCATTAATGCAATTATCTAATCAACCAATCACATGGCAG